ATATTATATTCTAAAGTTAGTATTTTTCTAGTGCATGTCATGTCATGTGATTTAAGTGAGCGATCACTCGGTTACAACTGTATAAGCAGGATTTCTGCTTCACATATATTGAGATTACAGATCCCTCATAAACAGTTAAGTTGTATTTTGGTTTTCCAGTGGAGTACAGGAATAGAATTCATGTCGTAGATAAAGCGCACGCCTATCTGTCGTAACTTTCACGGAACTCACTCATAAGATTTATTATGGTAATTTTACAATGTAAGGGTGTAAGCAAAAGACAACAGTACTGCCAACTAAAGTGATTTAATGTACAAAAGTGAAACCAGAATAATGCCCAAATATATATATAAAAATAGAAACATTTACACTAATAATAATAATATAGTAAAGTAGCAAATTTAAACAAAGTATCAAACAAAAATTTGTTAAACTCGAGTAAGGGGACGATAGTGAAGCCAAACATACAAAGAATACACTCCAAAGGTTTTCAAAATGAAATAACTAAACATAAACATAGGAGTCTGACAAAAATGCTCATTTTCAATGGAAATTTCAGATGGCAATGAATGTTTTTTTTTGTTTTTGCATCTGAACTCTTCATATATTATAAATCCCCTTTTCTCTCCGCCCCCCACGACACGACAACCTCAAAACATTGTGGAATAGTAAAGCAGGTCGCACACTGGATATGCTACTTAGCACCATGCTGCAACGCGCTAATCACAGTTGGAAGTATTACAGATTTAAAATGAAACTATTCAGATGGTGCTCTGTGGTGTGGCAGAAATATGAAGTGTCCTGAGTTGTAGCTGGGTGTCACGGACAGCCGCCTACTTGCGGTGCCGATGTGCGTACCCTAATAGAAATCTTTGTTTAGAATTCTAAAATGCATGGCACTGCATGGTGTGGTACATCCAGTGTACGACCCCCTTAAGTATACCTCACAGAAGTGAGTGGGCTTGACAAACTACCAGTAGAAAATACACTCTTTCATCTCTCTGACACTTTAATCCACATTTGCACCAGATACAATCTTACAACGGGCAGCATGGTGGCGCAGTGGGTAGCACAATCACCTCACAGCAGGAAGGTCGCTGGTTCTTGCCCCAACTGGGTCAGTTGGCATTTCTGTGTGGAGTTTGCATGGGTTTCAACCAGGTGCTCCGGTTTCCCCCCACAAGTCCAAAAATGTGGTATAGGTGAATTGGGTAGGCTAAATTTTCCGTAGTGTATGAGTGTGAATGCATGTATATGGATGTTTCCCAGTGATGGCTTCCAACTGGAAGGGCATCCGCGGCGTAAAACATATGCTGGATAAGTTGGCGGTTTATTCTGCTATGGCGACTCCAGATTAATAAAGGTACTGAACTAGAAAGAAAATGAATGAACAATCTTACAACCACAAATCTCAAAAAAATAAATAAATAACTTAAAAAAATGAGATTGTAAATTTATGAAATGTGCTTCACACAGGTAAGTGGGCTTGATAAACCACTTATAGAAAACAGGGCTGAGCAATATTGCAAAATGTAATTTCATATAATTCGATATTAATAATTATTCTGAGAATATTTTTAACGATACATAAAATAAAATTATTAGGATTTTATTGCTACAGCATTACTAAGGCAAATAGTTTTATTAGTTTTATATTTTAGTTCAAAAACAAAAATATTTAAACAAAATATCTGATCTCTTTATAATACAACAAATTTAAGTGTTAAAGAGACTCTTAAACTTGATATATAAAATGTTCCAAAGTGTGTAATGGTAAATCCTGAATACTGAACAATCAAAGCAAAATTTGAGGTGTGAATAAAAATAAAGTAAACCTCAAACTCTGTAAACAGCACAAATTATGATAATCAAATCTGAGCTTTCAAGTAAAGGAACCAGCCATCATTATTCAAATACATACTGCAACATTACAAATTGTGAAGTTGAATGACTACATTACCCCCATAACAAAAAATCTTTTAGATGGGGAGCTGAGATGCACAAGAAAAGAAACCAAATAGCCTCTGTGGTGACATTATTTTTTATTTACATGAGTCTCCTCACTGCTGCTATACGGCATTTATTTTCATGTGTTGTCATTCTGACTTGAAGTGACAAGTGCATGCATGTGGATTCCTTGACCATTTACAATGGGCTTTGGGCTCGTGCTCCACTGACGTAACTTGTAACTAGAAATCAACGAATGTGTATATATGTGTGTGTATGTATATATGTATGTATATATATATATATATATATATATATATATATATATATATATATATATATATATATATATATATATATGTTAATTAATCATTTTAAAACTGTATGTTTGTGGATTCAACCTTCAAAGATTCTACTTAAACAGTGAAGAAAATTAAAGCCCTCCTCACCTTCAGGAAAATGAATATAATGTTCAGCCTGAAAGGAATGAGTGGTGTGACAAGGTCAAGGTTTGTCCTTGTGATAAGGCTAGTGAAGGATCTCTTGTAATTAAGCAGCACCCAGCTCATGAACCACCTCTCTCTCGTTGTACTCTCTGTAGTTTTTGAAGGTGTTCAACTCATAACACTCTGACTGCGGCTCCAGAGAGAAAAAGAGAGATAAGGGGCCGAGGAGCAGAACTCATGGCCTCTGTGATGTGTGAGTTGGTAAATCTCCAGGCTTGTTTCAGCATAAGGGAGCTTGGCTGTGGAGATACGGGAGACTTAGATGAAATCCTCTTGTTCTGATGGGAGGCAAGGGCTCGGGATTTGCTCACCGTTCCAGAGAAGAAAATCATCACAGAATAGCGCTTTCTGACTGGCCTTTTGCAGCTCACTGACTTCTTTCTGCTGTCTTTTGCTTTCTTGATTTTGACTTTCATCTTGTTTAGGTTAACATATGGTGTATCATTTGTAATAGTAAAATGTTATTTGCAAATTTCCTGACAATATTAGTAAACACAATCTGTTGATTAAAAATACATACAGTAGGACTGCACAATATATAATTTTAGCATCGATATTGCAATGTGTGTAACCGCAAAAGTCATATAGCAAAGATCTGAAATGTTAAATTAGGATTATATTTGACCAGAAGCCACAGTTCAGAAAGTAATCAAGCAAGAATGACTGGAGATTTTTACCATAATGGAGCAAATGTTTATAATTTACATGTTTTTAAGGCATGTGACTGTATGAGCATATCAAGAGAGTTTAAAACTGTGATGCCCAAACTCGGGCCTACGGGCCAAAGTTGTCCCTTTATATCATTAGATTTGGCCCACCAGAGGGAAATGATTGGAAAGGGTAGGAGAATGGCTTTAACAGAGATTCTCATTTCTTTTTTAATGTAACTTTTTGTTTGTTTGTTATATTGTTGAACGACAAAAAACTTAAATTTAATTATTCGGTAAAATAACATATATTTTGGAAAATTTAGAATGCATTAGTAAATACAGTTTAAGTAAATGTTTCTATTTATTTTGAAATTTTATGAAAAAAAAATTGGAAATTATCTAATTATCTATGGCAACCTTAATGTAATACAGTTTGCGATGTTTACTTTTGTCCCACAGCTCTCAATCGAGCTTGGATTTTGGCCCTTCATAAGAACATTTTTGGACACCCCTGGATAAAAGCATTCAGGCACTAGGAATTGTACCAGTTGAAACTTTAATTAAAATTAAATTAATTGAATTAAAAATGTTTTGTTGATTTAATTATACAAAGACGATGCTATGTAGTGTTATTTTACATTTAATTCAATTTCTGTACCTGAATTCTTACCAAATATTGCGATTTAAGTCATCTGGTGAAATTGTATTTATATCGCAATTTATATCGCAGAAAAACAAAACATCGCAATGTCTGATTTTTCCAGTATTATGCAGCCCTAATATACATAATTTATTATTTTTAGTTTCAGCATTTAATAAAATATTATTAAATCCAGAATTTTAGTTAACTAAAGTATCCTTTTATTTTGAATATTTTTTAATATTGTCCTCTTTTTTGTCATGTTGAATAATTTAAAAAGTCAGTGTACTGTAATTGAGGATTTATACATATTGCTACCTTTTTTTGTACTCACAATTGATTTGGTGCATATTTGAACAGTTTTATCATGCTGACAATTTTATTGTGTGACCTTCTGAAGTCACTTTTTGGTAACCTTTTTTGTAACCTTCATTTAATCAAGTTGCCAAAAAAAATTTAAAAATAAAAACAAAATTTCAGTGACACAAGATTTTGTACAAAAAATAAAATTAAAGTGTGTTTAAAGTGAATTTGTAAAGTTCAATCCAATTCAGGCAATTGGCTCTGTAGGAAAAGAAAGCAGAACTAATATTAGCTACATAAGACCAGTAGACCCACTCAAATCAAACATTGTTCAGTTGATACACATGATAAGAGATGAACAGTGTTAAATCTCTGTGTCGTCTCTGACTGATAAAGCTCTTATTGGTCTCGCTCACAGAGAGCTGACATCATCATCAGTCGTTCTCCCTTCAGGCTCTTTTACTCCTGCTACAAATTCAATGGACAAAGCAGCCCTTAATTCACAAACAAAAGTAAAGGATCATGAATCCACAGTAATGTGTACCTGGGCCTTTGTAATTGGTCCCGGTGGAGCCGTGCGTTCAATTCATGCTCTTTCCAATTAAACCATAAACTCAACAAGAATAAATGACAAATAAACACACTTTGCCTCATTGTGCTTGCTGTTTATAGTTCATATCTGAAGGCTCGTGTGCTCAAGTATTTTTTTTTCTTGCACCAGAAAAGAACAAGTGCTGTTGTAGAGTTGTTTCTCAACTTATCCAGTTTTGTTATGTTCATTTTATTTTGGATTGTGGAAAGGATTTTCACATTTTAACTGAATATGAATAGATGTTCATTTTGAACTGAATATAAAAAGACTCGGTTTGTGTGTGTGTGTGAGCATGTATGCGTGTTAAAAGTGCTAAATGTATTTGATCCTGTCCCCTTACCTTGCTCTGTTTTCTTGAACAGCAAAGAAGACCTGTGCCACAACTGACTTTGCATGTAAGAACGGCCAGTGTGTCCCAGGCCGATGGAGGTGTGATGGAGAACCAGAGTGTCCAGACGGTTCGGATGAAGCAGACTCCGCCTGCAGTGAGTAAACTATTAGTGTGTTTGTGTGTGTGTGTGTGTGTGTGTGTGTGTGTGTGTGTGTGTGTGTGTGTGTGTGTGTGTGTGTGTACCTTTGGCTGATTCTGATCCAAATCAAAGCATGCAAACCATCCAAAAATCAAATGCTGAAATATGCACTTTTTCATGAAGACAAATTTCTGTCTTGAAAATCTATTTGCGCACGCACTCTTGATAGGCCATATCTAATCTCATGTGACGTCATCAACTACACAGTGAAGGTAATTGGCTGTTGTCGGCTCAGCAGCCAGTGAGCTTGCTCCTCAATATTTTAAATGCTTCAGTGTTGGTTAATGTTAGCAATCTGCAGCGCGTTTTGGAGACCCTCCTCCTCCCCAGCGTTAAGATCTGCACACGGGTTATATGTATATAATGTTGGCAGCAGCAGTGATAAAATGCACTACAACACCTGCACACATCATCATATGTCACCGCAATCTCATTGTTCATATGACGATCGCAACTGCTGTAGCTATTCCAGTTGCCTTATTTGTGGGTTTTTATCTTTAGGAAATCACTGAAGCAACGATATACGGTACTGCGCATTTATACCGGGGCCATATTCATCCATGTAAACATGCGAAAACAATATTAACATTAAAACAGACACTGTAAAAAGATCCTTCACAGCCACTAGACTTTTCTGACAGGGTATTTGAGTGTCAAATGTAAAAGTGTGTTGTGGGACTACCATATAGGAGTTAGTATTATGGAATATAGATTGTGAAATTTAGCAGTTTTTATTTTAGCATTTTTTTTTAAAGCATGATGGTAAAACACAAACGCGGTTATGAGTGTATTAAAACATGCTAGTTTGTTGTAAAACTTTGTAATAATGACAAAAAATGCTAATTTGTGCATCTCCTGACTTCCATGTGCAGCCATGCTGCTGATGTTTGGAACACCCCTACCTCTTGTTTTCCGCGTTCACGTGAAGGGGTGGGGGCATGAATATACTGACAGTAGCAAGTATTGGTACTTACTCTGCAAAAATAATTAAAGCAGCAGCAGCTCAACAGGTCTATTCTGCCAAGACCAAGCACATTAACATTGCCATATACTGTATTTTTTCATTACCCAACTAAATGGACTGACACAGTTTCAGTTTTCTAAAATTTCTATGTTCAGCTGCTTAGACACAATCCACAATGTATTATTATATATATTTATATATTGATTGATTGATTGATTGATTGATTGATTGATTGATTGATTGATTGATTGATTGATTGATTGATTGAAATGAATAAAATCTTAGAGAGTTGTCATGACAAAAATATTAAGCATCAATCAATATTCAGCTTTAATAATATATTTAATAATATGAAATTATATTTTTAAAACAACAAAAAAAGGATTTAAATAATTAGAATTAAATAATAGATTTTTAGATTACTGGGTTTTAGGTTTTCATTCATTAGAATAATATTTAAATTATTAATTTAGCATTTTGTATCCAATTAATTCAGACTTTTTGGGCATGGCAGTTGTATTTCCGATTAGCAAAATATTACGGGTAAACATTTCAACACCATTATAAAATAAAAATAACATAATAAGTTAGGGCAGTCTTTCATAGCATTGAAATTATTATTCATTGAGTATTGCTTCAAGGTTTTTCCAAATAACAATTATTCAAGTAAACAGCCAGTAATTAGAAAATTGTAATGTTTGATTTATTTAAACAACAAATGACCGGATAATGAAAGCGTCAGTGCACAGAATTGATGTTTTGACAGTTTATTTTGAATCTGATTTTGTATATGTCCATATACTTCCTTGACAGAGTAGCAGGAAGCTTATTTATTTTTAATAACTCCATTTGAAATTCACCTTATACATTTCTGCTTTCAAAGAAGGCGTAAAAACTCACATTACTGCTTATCCATGTGTCTTCTCAGTTATAGTAAACATATTTGTCATGCACATAAACAGTTTTGACATTTATTTACATGGATCCAGTTCTTTGTAGTTTGTTTTTCTACCACAGATCTCTGCCTGTGGCTGTTTGGCGATCTCAATAATTGTTATTTTAAGCTGTAGACTGAGACTTTCTCTCTGGCCATGTGATGTGATTTTGCCGTTGGCTGAATTAGGCTCCAGCTGCTAATTGGCAGCAGTAATGTTCACTCCTCTTGGCGATTCTCACTCTCTTGTGTACTGGTAATTGATATTGTCCAGTCAGAGCATGTGCAAATCACATTTTTCACACTTATTCCTTGTGCTCAGATTCTGTTGTTACTGCATTACAGAATCAGGAGTAGTTTCTGTCTCACTTGCTTTTCCTCGCTGACATTCGAAGGAAAAAGGGAAGCTTCCAGTTCAGTGGTCATTAGATCAGAATGAAAACTCAATCAGCTATGATTTGCTTTTTCTTCTTCTGCTTATACTGTAGTATTCTGGCCTGAAAATGATGAGAGTGATTTAGGCTGTGTTTGTAGTGTATATTAATATTCTATAGTGCTAAACTCAGAGCTGCATATTGTCTGTACTCATATAATATCTGATACCTTCATATTGCCAAAATGTTCAGTATGCAATTGGACACAATATTGTATCCTATATGGCTTATATCTAGTTTTACACAAACAAATAAAAAGAGTATTTTATAAATATTTTTTAATATATTTTAGTTTGATATTAGATTTGTACTTGTTTGGTATTTAATACTGGATATTTAATTCATTTATCTCAGTTAATTATAGTAATTTCTTACATTTATACAGTGCTTCACCGGAAACACAAAATGCTTTACACATTTTTAAAGGGGAACTCACATTTTTTTGAATGGGAAATAGTGTAACTGTCACTACGGTGAATAAAGCCCTGCCTTCTAGTACTGGAGCCAATCATGGATCGCTATAGAGTGACGATACTCTGGGGGAGGGGCTCAGACCAGACGATAGTTTCTGCAGATTTTGTGTGATTTGGACATTTTGAAATGAAGCTAAAGAGACAGTTGTTGTACAATTTTAGTGATGATTCCTAATATGAAATTCAGTGGTAAGCTTGGCAAGCAATTTTGGAGAATTTGATGTTTCCCCATACTGCCTGAGAGGCGTTTCAAAGATCCCTGGCGAGTGAAATGTCTTGCCTTAAAGGGACTTTGACATCACACACTAGCTGATTAGTGGAGAGGAGACAGAATGATGAAGCCAATTGAGGCCAGTGGGCAAATTTGGCCAGGATGCTGGGGTTAAGCCCCTACTCTTTTCGGAGGACATCCTGATTTTTAATGACCACAGAGGGTCAGGGCCTTGGTTTAACGACGGCGATCACTGAGCCGTATAGAGTCCCCATCAATATACTGGGGCGTTAGGAACCACTCACACCGCAGGTTGAGCACCCCCTTTTAGCAGCAACCTAGCTTTCCCATGTGGTACTGCCACATCCAGGTACTGACCTGGCACAGACCTGCTTAGCTTCAGTGGGCAACCATATAAGAGTTTCAGAGAGCTAGCTGCTGGCTAATGTGTCTGTTAAATGTAATACAGTTGAAGTCCATGTTAAATTAAAATTGACACTGTTAATTTTGCTAGAGTTCATTCTTAGTTTTAAGGTGTTTAATTAATTCATGCAAATCAATTCACTGAAAAAAACAATTTCATCTGGTAATCTTTAATCAAATTATAACAATTAGCTTTTGCTCTGTAATGGCAGTCCTTCTCTGATGACATCAAACAGCTTGGAAATGTTGGAAATATGTCATCATACATACAATTCTGCAACAACTTGTCATTCATGCTGACTTTAATTGTAAAATTGTATATATTTTCCATCAAGTCACATTATTTCAGCATTTCTCAATCCTGGACCTCACGCCTCTACCTCCTACACTGCATATTTTGCATGTCTCTCTTATTTACCACAGCTGATTTTGATGACCAGCTTGTTAGAAGAGCTTTCTGCATGAACAATGATCTGATGGACACATCCCTATGTAGTAAGCACTTTTCGTTAGTCTCTTCTCCATTATTGCTCTCTACCTGAGCACAAGAAACATTCATTCATGTATATACGATGTGTTTTCTGCCGAAATATAATTGGATAAACGTTCTGTGGGTTATACAAAGTTACACAGACCAAACAAAGACAAACAATTTTTATTATTATTTAAAGATTTATTTTTGGCCTTTTTTAAATAGGACAGTATTGAGAAAGGAAGTGAAGTGGGAGAGAGAGTGACAGGGTAGGGAAATTTTGTCGAGCCGGGATTCGAACTCGCGACGCCCTGACTTGCTATTGCACCATATGTCGGCGCGCTAACCACTAGGCTATTGCGCCGACAAAGACAAACAATTCTAACACAGAATGCACATTTTTAAAGAATAACTGACCTTGCCATTGTTTTCAGATAAATAGGTTCATTTAGCATGTATTTTAAATGTCTGTAAACATATTCTGGCATTTTAAATAGTTGTTATTTAAATACATCTTACTGGATGTTGCTAATTTTATAAAGGTGTATTCGATATGAATGCAGTTTCATCAGAAGACTTGACTTGCACTATTTGACAACCCAAGTTCAATTTGAAAATGTACCACTACATACATTTCTGGAGAGCGCCAAATTTGTTTCAGGAGCGATATTTTAAAAAAAAATTTTTTGCAGTTTTTGTTTTGGCGAATCCACCAGAGGCCACTCTGTATGCTTTTTGAGATCTCGAATTTTTCTGACGAGTGCTATGCACGCCTGCTGTTTTGACTGACCGACTGACTGACTGACTGACTGACCAATCGAATGACCCCCTCTCCTCCTTTCCTAAACCCAACCAATAGTGTTTTCAAAAGCACCAATTGTCCTGACCACAAACTTCCCTAAAACCAACCCGTTTTAAAAGTAATCCAGAAAAATGAAAAGCCCTCGCCTGATTTTTACCACATTTTCAGATTTTACCACTTTCTCACCCTGTTATTTACTTGTTTATTTAGTTTTTTGGCTTTTTTTTTTTGTCTAACCCGCT